ACACACACACTATATAAAATGAGAAACTAAAGACTTAAATGTTTCATAATACAGACAATAAATAGTTTGACACATTGTTCAGATTATTCACATGGATTTTATTTGTTACTGATTGTTATTATATTACGTATAAATACATTTATTAAGTATTATTTCATTCCACACAAACATAAACAAAAGAAAACATTTTTGATTTTCAAATTAAAATAATAAATTAAATAAAGACTTTTATTTTGGTAATCTGGTCACTCCATGTCCTTCAGGATGTCGGGGATGAACTCCTGGGCGTCTCTCAGCTGGTCCCTCCACTCCGGTGGGATGGCCCCCCCGGCCCCCAGCAGGGCCCCCAGCGCCGCCCCGCGGTTACAGTTCTCACCTGGAACAGGAAGTCAACAACCAGTTTCAGTTGGTGGAGCCTGGACCCTAAACCTGGACTCAAAGCTTCTGTACGAACCTCCACAGTTGGTGTTGGTCAGGATTCCTCCACCGACGTCGTCGTGGAACTCGTGAGCCAGATAGAACAAGCTGGACAGAGCTCCTGTTGGGTCACAACAAACAACACGTCAGAGCTTCGTCAGCGGTCACATGACCGGCTCAACAGGATCACATGACGCCGGGTTGGACCTTTCGTGTAGCAGGCCAGGCCCAGGTAGTTCACGGCGCTCTGGTGGACCTTCAGCTGCTCGTCAGAACCCCAAGGGAACCTGCAGCACAAAGACAGGAAGCTCTTCAATGGGCTCAGCTTTTATTGTGGAAGATCTGCAGGAAGTGGTGACGAACACGGGTCACTAAAGACCACGAACGCGGGTCACTGAAGACCACAAACGCGGGTCACTGAAGACCACAAACGCGGGTCACTGAAGACTGAAATGGTTCGATCTCATCGTGCTGGCGGCGCATTCGAACCTGGCCGCCTTGCGTCCGTAGCTGCGGCAGTCCTCCCAGGCGTCCAGCTTCTTCAGAGCGCGCTCTGCCTGCTGCCGGACGCTGGCTCCGCCCAGAACGGCGTGCAGCGCCCGGCCGTAGATCGACACGTACTCTGGCACCTTCGGGTGGGGATGGGTGAGCTTTACGAACTCCACGGCTGCTGAGACCTGGAGACAAGCGAGATGTCAAAGGTCAGACGGAGAACGTCCTCTTTGTGTTTAAAGGTGCGTTAGAAACCCACAGCTTGCTCCTCATTGGCCGAGGCGGACAGCAGGATGAAGGGGAGGATCATGGGAAGGCAGCCGATGGCGTCCAGCTGGCTGTCTGGAAACGAGGAGCTCAACTTTTGCCGGCTGCGTTTTTCTGCAAATGCCAGAACCTGAAAAACAAAAAGAGGTTCAGTACTTAAGAAACACAGCTGGTGGTTGTGTGAGGGTGCGTTTGTTTTACCTGACGGGGTGAGGTCGGCCTGCTGTCCTGCCAGCTGGAGAAGAAGGAGCGGTGGGAGGACTCGGCGTAGGTGTCGCGGTGCGAGCTGGGCGTCGTCAGGAAGTGGACGTAGTCCGACAGGACGGTGGCTCTGGCGTCTGGCTGAGAGACGTCAACGAAACGTCCGTCGACAAGTGAGCGGGCGACTCGGAGGGAACAAAGGACGTTAAGGGTGTTGTCCCCGGACTGAAGACCTGAAGACCACCAACAGAGATCACTAGAGAGCAGGAACAGAGATCACTACAGACCAGGAACAGAGATCACTACAGACCAACAACAGATATCACTACAGACCAACAACAGATATCACTACAGACTCCTCAGTATCAGTACACAGTATCAATACTAGTACTCAGTACCTTGATGGTAGTGGACCGAGCCTTTGGAGGTCTTCCACAGGTCCAGTTTGTCATGGAGGATCACGTTACCGACCACATCGGGTCGCTTGGCGCCGGAGGACCAGGCGGTCCGACCGCTACCGGCTGGAACACCGGAAAAAAAGTGTCCCGTTAAACCACAAGAACATAAACAGGGTCTCCAGGTCTTGATGGTCCAGGTCTTCGTACCGGTGTTGGAGAGGCTGAGGATGCTGGACGGGTGCCGGTCTCTGGGGGACGTGAAGCCGGCGATCCAGCCTCCGAAGTCCCTCCTGATATCGTCCACGTCGTAGTACCAGTGGACCGGCATGGACATGGAGTCACCCGCACACATCCCCCACAATGCACTGCTCACCGACCGCCGCACCCGAGTCATCTCTGCTGCACCACAACAGAACTTCATGTTATATTTTATATATCTAATAAGTACCAACAGAACTTCGTGTTATATTCTATATATCTAATAAGTACCAACAGAACTTCGTGTTATATTCTATATATCTAATAAGTACCAACAGAACTTCGTGTTATATTTTATATATCTAATAAGTACCAACAGAACTTCGTGTTATATTTTATATATCTAATAAGTATCAACAGAACTTCGTGCTGTATAATATATATTTATAATATAACTCACCTCTCGCTGTGGTTTTCTGTTCTTAATGATTCCGCATTTTTAAACTTGCATAACTTTATTTGGAGGAAACTATGCCCTGAGCAAAGGCTAGCAGGCTGATATACCGCGTTCAGCGAACATATACTGACTATAATAATAAAAACTACGTAATCAACAATTTGATATCTGTAAAAAATAATGAGGCAAAACAACGTTTCTGGTGATACAGGCGATAAAACACAAAGGTTAAGAGACGAAAAGCTGCCTGGAAAACAATACCAGGGGGCATAATTAACCAAAATATACGGTGGCCGTTGAGTATCATTATAAACGGAGAACGTACCTAAATCAGTTAAAACGCGAATGTGTAACCAAGCTAGTAAGATGCTAACGTTAGTGTATTAAACATTAAATTGTCCTCAACCGGTCAAAGAGGACGTAACGACTCACGAGGAACTTCCGGTATTACTCGTAGACCGTAAATAAGAAGACATTACTGGAAGCTAACAGCTAGCTTAACAAGCCAACAAATCTGATTGTTTTCAGCTAGCCGGCTAAGCTAGCTGGTTGCTAGCATGCTAACGTCTGTTTCAGTGATGGAAATGGAGGAAAATCTAGATCCTCGTGAAGTCGGTAAGAACTCGTGTTTACTTATTATTGTTTTACTTATTGAGTTACTGTTAAAGCCAGGTCTGATGTGGGTCTGATGTAGACCAGGTCTGATGTAGACCAGGTCTAACAGACCTAAATACTGTGGGTCTGATGTAAACCAGGTCTGATGTAGACCAGGTCTAACAGACCTAAATACTGTGGGTCTGATGTAGTCCAGGTATGATGTAGACCAGGTCTAACAGACCTAAATACTGTGGGTCTGATGTAGTCCAGGTCTGATGTAGACCAGGAATGATGTGGGTTTGATGTAGACCAGGTCTGATGTGGTCTAGATATTTAAATATTCAGGATTCATTTAAATGTCTTTGTCTTTCAGAGCGAGCCAAAGCCTTCTGGTCCGAGGAGGACGTGGACCAGGTCTTCAGTGGTGTGTTTGAGTACCTGGACCACCTGAAGAAGGTCCTGAAGAAGAACACAGCGACAGACAAAGGTGGGGCCTCTTGGTTCTTCTTCTTCGGTGGTATTGAAGTGCACTTCCTGTTGGGCTGACAGTCACTTCCTGTTTGTGTCCATCAGAGTACGTTCAGGGTCTGAAGCTTCTGGAGAGTCTCAACGGTCCTCCAGTCTCCTCTCAGGACTCCTCTGTGGTCCAGGTGGTCATCGGCTCAGGTAAACACAGGCTTTTATTCTGAAACTTTACTGTCATTACACCCACACCAGTAAAGACCTGTAAGAACCAGTATAAACTAGTAAAGACCAGTATGAACCAGTACTCTGTGTCTCTATTTAGATGGAATATGTGTAATGGCTGAATTAGATGTTTAAATTAATAAATATTTCTATGTAAATAAAGAACCTGTGTGTCTTAATTTGGTGGCATCTTCCTGTCCAGATGAGCTGTTCCCGGCTGACTCCTCCCCCTCTAACGGGACGTCCAGCTCAGCAGCTCCCCCTTCAGGCCGAGAGGAGCTACTGCCTCCTCTGACTCCAGTCCAGCTGCAGTACGAGCCTCACTCCTGCTGCAAGGTACACAAGTACACACTCTGTGTACTATATACTGTGTACTACACACTCTGTACTTCACACTGTATTGTTGTTTCCCTTCAGGCCTGCCTGCCCTCTTTACCCAGCATGCCTCAGTGCACCCCTGCGTTCTGGGGTCAGAACCCCCTGAAGGTTCCGCTGCTCTGCGGCTTTAAGAGGCTGAGCGCAGTGCCGCTGATGATGTCACTGAGAGGAGGCGAGGACGAGGAGGGGGCGGAGCCTAACGAGCCGGAGGACGAGGAGGACTGGGACGTCCTGTACAAGGCCCCGTGTGGACAGAGTCTCCGGAACCATGAGGACGTGATGCGCTTCCTGTTGGCCACCGAGAGCTACGACGTCCTGCAGGTTTGTGACGACGCATTCAGGGACCAAGTACGACAATCTCAAAGTGCTCCACTGTCAGAGTACAAGTACTGTGACTGATGTATTCTTATGTATAAAGTAGTAGAGTAAATGTACTTGGTTGCCTTCAACCCTCCAGGTGGACTTCTTCACCTTTAATGCCTCGGTTCAGTTGGACCCGCCCCCTCAGGCGGGTCCCCGGTGCCCAGAGATGGACCTGAGCCGGGGGTTAGAGCCCACGCCGGTGCAGCTCTGTGTCGGTGACGGCGGCGCTCGACCCGCCGAGTTCCGCTACCGGAAGGACCGCTGGCCGCACGGCTGCTTCTTGACCCGCGGCCCGGCGCTGTTCCACGTCTGCTGCGACTGTACCGATGGCTGCGCCGACGTCCGGCGCTGTGCCTGCGCCGCCGTGACCGGAGGAGGGCAGCGCTACGACCACCATAGGCTGCCGGACCCGGTTCCCTCAGGGTGAGAACCCGCTAACTACAGAACCCGCTCAAACAGGAAGTGACCTCGTGACCTCACGCTGATCCTGAATGTCCTTTAGCGTGTACGAGTGCGGCCCGTGGTGCGGCTGCGTCCGGACCCGCTGTCAGAACCGGCTGGTCCAGAGAGGGATCCGAGTCCGCCTCCAGGTCTTCCAGACCGACGGCCGAGGCTGGGGGGTCCGATGCCGCGACGACCTGGACCGCGGCACGTTCGTGTGCGTTTACGCAGGTGAGACACGGCCAATGGTTGCCATGTTTGAGGATCTTTTAAAGTGAACGGTTGACCTTAAACGCCTCGCGGTGTGTTCAGGTGTCACCCTACAGAGGAGTCAGAGTCCTGCCGAGCCGTCGCCCCCGAAGCTGACGAGGTCTGACCTCCCGTCTGACGACGAAGTGGAGGTGGTCACCGAGTGGCTGCCCCCCCCGGTGCTGGAGGGGCGGAGCACCGTGCTGGAGCCCCCCCGACCCACGTCACCCACCCCCCACGTCCCCGTGATCCAGAGACCCAATGACGCCGCTACACCACAGGACCGAGACCAGGTTCCAATGTACTCTAATACTGAACTCAAGTATCAAGTACTTGTACTGTACTTTGTACTTCTACTATAACGGAGTAGAAATACAGCAGTACAACAAAACATATACATATATAACATATAAATACATAAGAGAGTGGGAGCTTTTTGATTGTCTCCACACGGCTCTCAACATGGCAACAGCTCAGCTGGCAGTTAGCAGCTAACAGTGCTAATAGAGCTAACAATACTTTAACATGTCCTTCTGTCTCCAGACCGTTCTGGTCGGCGCTCCGGAGCCTCCGTCTCCTCCTCCAGATGAGTCAGGTGACCTGTCTCCTCCTCCGGAGAAGGAGGTCTCCGTGAACGGCGTGGAGACGAGGAGGAACCTGAAGAGAGCGAAGGAGACGGTGAAGGACGTCTACTTCCTGGACGCCAGCAAGGAGGGAAACGTGAGCCGCTTTCTCAACGTAAGACGATTTATTTTAATAAATATACTGTGTATATATATATATATAATGTGTAAATATACATTATATACTACAGGAGAGATGGTTCTATCTCACACTCTGCTCCCTACAGCACAGCTGTCAGCCCAACCTGTTCGTCCAGAATGTCTTCACCGACTCTCACGACCCCGGCTTCCCCGTCGTGGCCTTCTTCACCAGCAGGTGAGGAAGAGGAGGATGGTTGTTGTTGGTGGTGGTGGTGGTCATAAACATTGTCTCTCTCTCAGGGTGGTGAAGGCCGGCACTGAGCTCACGTGGAACTACTCCGCCGACTCTCAGAGTAAACAGGAAGTGCCCTGTCTCTGCAGTAGCAGCGGTTGCCAGGGAAGGTTCACCATCGAGAATCAGCTGTGTGAGGTGTGTGAGGTCAGAGGTCAAGGTGACACACAGTAACCACCCCCCCACCAGGTCACTTCTGTACGCTTTTTATGTTTTTCTTAATAAATCTAAATTTATAAAAATCCGTTTCGCTGTTTTATTTTTAAAGGCTGTCATACTGTGTTTGTAGTTTCATTTCAGAGTTAGAATTTGTGAGACTTTTATTTTGTAAAATGTGTTTCAAGTATGAATGTCCATCTCTAAAGCTTTTTTATTTGGAAACTCCATTGCAGGAAGTGTGGGAGGATTCTCTGTTTTTTAACTGCCACTAAATCTTTTATTTTGAAACTTCTAACTTCATTTGTAACCTGTCACTTTAGATTCTAGGATTTATTATTTTCATAATAAAACACAGGAGTGCTCCATGAAATATTTACTCAAAATAAATAAAAATAGAATATAGATAATAAAATAGAACAAAATGTATTGTTTGGGGGGCTCTCGGGTCCAGAAGGTTAAAAGTATCAATAAATAAAGATATTTAAAAAAAACTAGATAATATTCACAATAGATATAAACTGTAATGTTCCACTTACGAGTCGGAGACAGAGTGAAGTCCTTGCAAGAGGTTTATTAACACAAACCATCAACAATAGTGCCGAGCAACTCCAGCCAACATCATCGGTCTTCTTACAGTGTGTTTTAACAACTCTCTTCTTCGTTGGTTCCGGTCTCACAACCTTGACTAGCTCCCGACACAGAACAGGTAACCCCCTCCTCCCCTCTGCTCTATCAATCACAGGCACGCACCTTGACTAACGTGTACAGTGCGTCCTGTGATTGGCCAGAGAGAGGGAAGTGACAGCCTGACCCCTCTACTACCAGCTGCTACTGTACAGGGTCGCTACAATACCTACTTGTATACACTTTGTGTAATATCATTGAAAACTTTTGGTTTTATTTATCATCGATGCTTCTATTTTGAAGGACTTCCTGTTATACCGGTCTTCCTGTTACACCCGTGACTGTGGCTTTTATTTTGAAACTCCGCCCCGGATCCCCGCGCGTTGTTTACATGTATATATATTACGTCATTCTCTTCCGGACTCACACCGACACTGAATACGACCATGAGCGCTCTTCTGCGGGCTTCGTGTGTGCTTCTCCTCGGCCTCCTCTTCTCCTCCTCCTCCTCCTCCTCCTCCTGCAGGGACCGGGACCGGGTCCGGATCCCGCCTCACGACCAGGTGGCCCGGGTCGCGCGCTTCGTGGCCCACCAGGTAGACTGGGCCTCCATGGCCACCGTCTCTACCCACGAGCCGGTGGTGGGTCGGCCGTTCTCCAACGTGTTCTCGGTCAGCGACGGACCGGAGAGCTCCGGTACCGGGGTCCCCTACATGTACCTGACCCGCATGGAGATCTCGGTCCAGGACCTGCAGGTGACGTATAGTCCTCGTGACTGTCTGTGGTTCAGAGTTTAGTTTCTATAAGTTATATTTAAATTAACATTTAGCTATTTGATACAGTGGATAATTACTTTATGGTATTTTTGATATCTTATGGGAATATATAATATAATATAAAGTAATATAGTATAATATAACTTAGCATAATATAGTATATTATGTTATAACATAATATATTATAATGTATTATAATCCAGTGTGTTTGTAGTGAAGGTTTTATTTCAACATTTAGTTCAAAGTGAATTAGTTTAATAAATGATTTTAATACTTTAGACTCTAACAGAAGTTTAAATGTTTTATTCTTTCATAACTCTTTTAGGGTTCAATCTATTGATTCTTAATGAATAAATGTAGTTATTGTATAATTGTAGATATTTAATTCACTACTGAATAATATTGTAAGTTATGAAAACGGTTGACAGTTGATGTTACATCAGAAGCTCCACCATGACTCAGCACTTCTTCACAGAGTGACTCAGCAGTTTGAGGGTTAAAGTCATGTGATGCAAATGTACAGAGCTGAGTGTACTGTGGCCTGTTTAGGCTCAATAACAACCTAGTAGTAGTAGTAGTAGTACCCTTGTCTGTAGTGAGCAGTACTAGTAGTACTGCTCACTACAGACTCAGGTGTGTCCCTACAGGTGAACCCTGAGGCGTCTCTCTCCATGTCTTTGGCTCAGACAGACTTCTGCAGACTTCAAGGCTTCGACCCTCAAAGTCCTTTATGTGCTCACATCATCCTGACTGGGTCTGTGCTGGAGGTACACACACACACATAAACACACTCACACACACACACATAAACACACTCATACACACTCACACACACATATACACACACACACACACACACACACATATACACACTCACACACATATACACACTCACACACACCCACACACATACACACTCACACACACTTATACACACTCACACACACTTATACACACTCACACACACATATACACACTCACACACACATATACACACTCACACACACATATACACACTCACACACACATATACACAC